AGTGTTGTAGACTTCGGACCGCAGTGAGATTGTTGTTTTCTTGTTCATCAGGCGATCCAAGGTAGTTCTGCAGGCGTCCGCAGGCCTTGGCGCGTCTCCTTCTATCTATTATTCATGTTTCTTTCATGTATTTCCAGAGACAGTATTGTATTTATTTCTTTCAGACCTTTATTTGTAGTACTCATAGACAGTCTGTGAAGTTGTGACACCAGTCTTGGGTAGATTTGTTATGGTTTGGTATTAGCAGTATTATTAAATCTCTACAATGCAGTCTTCCGCTTATTCAATTCTGTTGTTATCTAATTGTTGGCTCTTAACCGTTATCGGATTAAAAATGGAAATAAGGTAGATAGTTCAGTTGGTTGGCTTGCGTAGCTTTCACTAGTAGGCGCCATCACGGCTCCCGAGGGTGGGAAATTCGGGTCGTGACACATCGGTAGTCTACCTTTACCTTTTTCGTATCGGTCACCACACTGATGTACCGAGACATGGGCTCGCATCGGCCCGATGTAGAAGGTGGGTTTTCGATGGTAAAATCGGAGATCGTATCAAAGTGGCCAGGGGTACATTGCTCAATACTTGGGGGAGTTTTTGGTTTGCCCTTGGATGGGCAAGATGAAGAAGTTGTACCCTCTTTCTGAGGTATCATTTTTGAAGTTTTGGCCATGATTATAACTTGATTTCAAAGAAAGAAGATGAAGAAACAAGCACAGAAAGAAGTTGAATACGGAAAGTTGTGAACTTGGCCCTAAAGACTTAAAGATGTTGTAAAAGTGTGAATGGCAAGAAAAATTGAAGTATCTATCGAAGACATTTAGGCAGTGTTTGGGAAGCGGATGAGTCGAGTCAATGGAGGTTCGTGGGCTTCTCGATAATCGTGTTGAGGATGACCTCTACGCAGCCTTTGAGTTATGGCATTTAATGTTTTGATGGGCTAACGTCATAATGGGAGTATAGAGGAGGCAAAGATTCAAGACCATTTCTTATCATTTCACACGCGGGGACGATCTGTATACGGCTAAAATGGGAGAATCCGATTTTATGATTGTTATGACATTCCACGGCTTGTCTTCATAAGGCCTGAGACACAGCTCGAGGTTAGACCCCGATGGTTCCCAATGACCAACCTCCGGGCAACGTAAATCGATGACTATCTTGGATAAGCGGAAAGTTCCCAAGGCGCGTGCTCAAGGCTGACAAAGCCTGCAAACATAGTATAAGTCTGTACCGTGACATTAAATAGTTGTACCAGCTGCGTATCTTTGTAATAAATACATGTGTACTATGTTGGGATTCCCCCTCCTTTATAAAGGGGACCCTTATCATTTTTTGCACACATGATATTCAATACAAGAACAAGAACACTCTCTACACTCTAACTTGAACACTCTCTATTGTCTTTCCTTTGATTTATTGCTTACATTTATTGTGTTTTATTGATTGTTCTTCCTTTATCATAATGCCCTTTTAAATAAATTAACCTAAATGCACTAGTAAATTAATTAATTAAATGCGGTCAATTAGTGTATAATTGATATAAGCCACCTGTTTGGAGCAATTTTAATAGCATGTTCACCGTTTGGAACAATAGCCACCGTTTCAAGAACCAAACTTTAAAAGACATTGTCCAGAACCAAAAAATAATTATTTTTGGATGTCGTGAATTTTCAGTATGGATATGAATATAATTTATATAAGTAGTATTACTTAATAATAGAATACTGTTAATTATAAATTACATTTAAACAAAAAGAAGGGAACTGGTGTGTCTTTTTCTTTTTAAGGTTATGTTTTCTCAAGATCATTGACCAACTCTTCTGGAAATTCAAATCATCTATTACAAAATAGGCTGCCTTGTATAGACATATTGTATGCTCAATCTTCTTATAGGTTTTCAAATTGATTCTGTTAGTCCACTACAAGACAAATGGCTTCTAGGGACGAGAATAATGGTCCCTAAAAGCTTATTTCTGGTCCTAAAATATCTATAGCGATCAGTTAAAATTGGTCATCACCGGTCGCTAGATCCTCCGCCGTTAAAGGTTATATTAACGGGGTTTGACATCTGGTCCCTTAATATGTTTAGCGACCAGATTAATACTGGTCCTTGAAAGGTATTAACGACTAGTTGGAATGTGGTCCTTAAATATTTTTAGGGACCAGGAATATGGTCTTTATTGCAAATCAATGTCATATAATATTTAGTGACGAGTTTTCCGGTCGTAAAACACTTTGAAGGACAAGAAGATCTGGTCCTTAATCTTATTTAGGACCAAGCATGGGTGGCCCAAAATTCTAATTTTTCATAAATTTTCAAATCAGATATATTGATTCTACAAATAGAAAATTTAATCATAAAAAGATAATATAATGAAGAAAGATATGGTTTCATATATAATAATTACTAACAAAAAATTAGTAGCATTGTACGACCATGGTGAAATATTTTTTGGACACCCTTTAGCAAAAGTACTTCTAGCTAAGATCACTAAAATTAATAGNACTTCTAGCTAAGATCCCTAAAATTAATAGGATATTTTGTCCAACATTCCTAGCAAAGCAAAAGTCTACTGATTGTATGTCTTCAAAACTCACATCTTGATAGCCTCCAAAACCTGTAAAAATATTCAACAAAAATTCCTTTAATAAGAAATTATAAAGATAACTAGAAAATTATATTGAATAATTTTTTCAATTTTACTCTATTAATAATTTGACCTTTTACTTGAAAAGGTGTCTGAATTCACCAAGTGTAATATATATACACTTCGAAAATAAAATAGCAATGTCAACGAGGTTGCATGAATATAAACAAAAATAAATTAGAAAAACGGTGTTATATAAACATCGTAGCATTTATGAAAACCTAGAAGGATAATCCTCAACCAAGAACTACAAATTNCTATTAATAATTTGACCTTTTACCTGAAAAGGTGTCCGAATTCACCAAGTGTAATATATATACACTTCAAAAATAAAATAGCAATGTCAATGAGGTTGCATGAATATAAACAAAAATGAATTAGAAAAACAGTGTTATATAAACGTCGTATCATCTATGAAAACCTAGAAGGATAATCCTAAACCAAGAACTACAAATTTTGTTTTAAGTTGAACATCTAAACAATAGTTTATATGTACTTAATGAAAATATAAACAATAGTGTATATGTACACAAGGCACATCTGAAACATCAAGCAGTAAAGCTATAAGGAAATATTTTATTTTTACTGAAGTTTGATAGCTTTTATGCATTTAGCTTGCTAGGTATTCATGCAGAAATGATGCACTTGCGGGTAACATATCAAAAGCTCTTATCACAACAATTGTGGAAGTTTCTTGTATCGCTAAACATGAAAAAATAGAACCATTGCAATGGGGAAGAAGCTATAGTATATCTTTATTTTCTTGAAGTATCAGCAGATGAAATCACTAATTGTAGCAATTGTCATATACTACATAGTAAATACACGAGAAAGATCTTTAGTACATAGCTCGCCATTAATAATAGACTAAGCCCTAATTCCAAACAAGTTGAGGTCGATTATATCAATCCTCTAAATAAATTGTTGTCACTCAGACATTCATGAAAAAGCTCACAACAAAAATAAAATCAATACAACACCATACAAGTAACAAGTAACACCACACATACCAGCCCAGTTTTCAGTGCAACACCATGCAAATAAGTTGATGAACTCCAGTGACTCCGCAAATATTTTTTACATGTAAATAGTCCATGAACTCTATTGACTTCACAAAGGCTTTTATTTGCATATGGTAATCGTAGGTAAGTCCTTATAATAAATATTAATCGCTAACTTAATAAAAATGATAGTTACTAATAAGTTAAATCTACATTAATAATATAAAAAAAAATTATATTCTTATATATACCGTCAGACACTTCTATATAACAACATCTCTATATAATAGTCATTCACTATAAAAACAAGTTTTTCTCATAAATGATTATTGCATTATGTTATAATATATATATCTCCTCTATAACAATACTAATTCACTATAGCAGAAAAAAATATTGGAACAAATGAGATTATTATAGAGAGGTTTGATTGTAAAAGTTATATCCAAAATAAGAAAATGAGATTATAATTAATCCTAGCTAGCAGTACTAGTATAGTTGCAGCTATAGAAAATCACCAAGCCAGCAATATGACAGGCAGAATCCGCATTAAAAGTGGCTTTGGACTTAAAGCTGCGAGAAGATTCGTCAAGGGAATGATAATTAGGCCATGTCATAACAGTGTCCCTAGCACTAGGTTCAGCATTCTGATCAAAAATATTCTTATGAAATTCTCCTACTAATCTTCCACTAGTCCCATATAATTGGGGTCAGAATTTGATCTCATCCTCTTTTTTGCCACTCCACCTATCGTTTCTTGCTTCACAATATTCTCAGTATTGATGTTTGCCTTATTTTTATCACTTCCCTTTAGTAAAACAAGCATTCTTAAATATATGTATTGGACTCATCTTCTGTGAAGTAGATTGTCTCCATCTATATTATTTGCATATGGTGGAATTGACCTATTTCATTCCACGTCAATTAGGTGGAACTCTCTGGTAACACACGCTAGGTGAGCATAGGGAAAATTGAAATTAAGAAAAATCAATTGGTGCAGGATTTAAGAAGCATCATGGATAGGGTTTGAGCTACATTTTATTGTCAATGGTATTCCTTGTTGATTCAGCTCATTGATCAACAAGTTAAATAGAATACTACTGGGAGATTTTTCAGCTTTAAAAAGCTCTCCTTTAACTGTTATAGTAGCATGAAACTTACTAACACATTAAGCAATTTATACCTCTTCAATCCAAAAAAGACCAAAAATTCAATATAGCACTTACAGTGAAAATCTAAAAGACAAGAGGGATTTTACTAGTTGCAGCAATATAACATTTCCTCTAGGACAGTTACAACAAGATAGAACACATCAGTCTACTTAAAAGAGAAGCACGATGCTAGACATCAGGTATTGCATTCAAATATTTACTAACTAAATGATATTTGAAATGAGTAAGTTGTTACTAACTTGGTATGTTTATCAATGGTCATTCTCCTGATATGGTGATGCTGAAGGCTGGACATTAGCGTGTTGAGCCACCGGAGGGTGGACATTAGACTGTTGGCTAAAGAAAAAATCTTTTAGTTCCTTCAGTTCTTTCACCTCATTTTCTATAGTGGACAACCGATCCTTCAATGACTCGTTTTGCTCTAGCGCAGAACGTAACTCGAATCTTAATTCGGCCTTCGAGGAACCGCCATCTTTTAAGTCTTTTGCTTTTACTTCACCCCCAAAACCAAATACATGACTACGAGTTTGAGGTCCAAAGCATTTTTCCATTATCTCTATATTGGGAAGAGATGGTTCGGACTGCACCAATTCTTGAATTTGAGCCTTCAAAATATATAAAGAAAAACTCCCATTAGAACCAATAACTAGAAGTTTTTACATGTTTAATTGATGAAACGCACATGTTTTATAATTGTCTCAGATCAACAAGCTCGTTGTTCTTCTTGCGAGTCTCAAAAAAATAGTTGCCAAATCTGGTGGATTGCCATTCTTTCCGCCCTTTACATTAAAGTAAAAATGTCAAATAATGCCTCCTCAATATTTGAAAACAAAAAGAGCAGATATTATAATACCTTTTGATAAATAATTTCTCTAATAGGCTTGCTGCCGATATGATGAGGCACCTTCAACTTAGCTCTGTTTGCTGCATTTTTGTTGCTTTTTGCCTGAAAACTTTCTGTACAAAAATATTCTTTTACCAACCACTCCCATTGTTTCTTGTATATCCCCTTTGGTATATTGTTAAGAGCCTCTTAGATTGATTTATCCCTCACGTACTTTGCATGCAATTGTCCTATCCATTTGTTCCACAATTCTTTCATCCATCCCAAAATATGATTGCGATGAATATCTAGGTCATCGCTCTCAAATTTATCCTACAATAAATTAAACATATCATAAGAACTTTAGCAAAGAAATGATAAAACCTTCAGGTTTGATAAAACATAGAAAATAAAATCATAAAACTACATTAGCATAAAATATTGTAAGGTTCTGGAAATGTATTTTGAGTTGTAGCAAATAGCTTATAAGCAAATTGGACACATTTGTTACTTCAATAGCTGCCTACATGTGATTTAGCTTTTCCTCTTTAATATCATCCCATGATGATACTCCCAATGGACACATATTACGATCACGAACTATTATTCCTAAGTGCCTCGAAAATAGAGTGCTATTCTTTCCAACAGTTCGATTATTACAAAATATTACTTTCAACTTATCTCCAACTTCAAGTGATGCGACTTCTTTGCACTTGTTCCTTCCTCGAACTTTTTTAGACTTTTTCAGTAGTACCTAAACCTACATTGCACGATTTAGTAATATCTAAATATATTGTATGTCTCAAGTAAACTTACAATCATAAAATTGTCAAACCATACATGTTTCAACTGTTTGCATAACTTGATCAGTGGATAGAGAAAATGGAGTCTCAATTTGCATCTGCTCTTTCCTAGGAATAAATGAGTTTTTCTAGATAACTGTAATATAGATTTCTGTAAGAAACAAAGTGTCATGAGCCACAAGAAGTTAAGATTAATTATCTGGAAAAATTGATACATTTAAGAAACTAAAAGTATATCACTAGTGAGATAAGATACAAATTAGTTGTCAAAATAGACATAACACACAATTCTTCTATTTAACACTCATCAACTAGTGTACTTATTACCCCTTAACAATTTCTTTGGTCCATTAGGAGTACATTCCTATCAGAACATTTAGCTAGAGTTAACAATTATTAACTGAATTTACAAAATTAAAACTAAAATAGGGTTGATAGAAGATAAAGTTCCTAGTTCTCACTTTGTTTGTTTATCCACAAATACTCCAGAAGTTGAAAACAATAAAAAGTAACAGTAAAGAATTCTAAAAGTAAGCAAATGCATTCTAGACTAGTTCACTAAAAGTTAGAGAAGTCTGAGAAAAACTAGCTAAATATTACATTAAACAAGTTTTTTAAACTTACTAACACATTAAGCAATTTGTACCTCTTCAATCCAATAAAGACCAAAAATTTAATATAGCACTTACAGTGAAAAGCTAAAACAAAATGTAAGCCATCAACTGCAAATTACATTAAGATGATCTTACTAGTTGTCGTAGTCTAATTATTAGATGTTCGCCCATTGAGAGAAGTCTTACAGGTTGTAATAGTGATATTTACTAGTTGAGACTAGTTGCAACAGTCTCACTATTAGTTGCAGCTAAAACACAACTTTTAAGCCAAGTAACGCACTAGTTGCAAGAGTACCAACAATGTCATTTGCACAACAATAAAACTTTTCATCTAGGATAGTTTTACAACAAGATAGAATACATCATTCCACTTAAAAGAGAAGCACAACACCAGGCATCAGGTGCTGTATTTGAATATTTACTGCTAAAGGAAAAAATTCGCTAAAATCTAATATTAAATTCCTACTAAAAAGGGACTGAAACATAGAAATACACTCACAAAAAATCTAAATAAAATGAAGTAAAGATCAGAATTTTTATGGAACATAAACAATTGTAGACAAATCCTTACTCCAACTTGAATAAAATCAAAAATTCTTCTAAGCGTAAGTTTCAAATATAAGAACAGAGAATATAGCAGAGGAAGAACAAATTTGAAGGAAAAAAAACAAACAAAGCATAGGCTTTTATAAACAATTCACAAAGGGACACCCAAGCAAATATAATCTAGAAAAGAAATTGATTGTAAAAATATTTGCTGACTAGCAATCAATTTCTACCAACAAAAAAAAATTAAAAAATAAATATTTTACAAACCTGCAAAAATGGGTTGTTGAGAAATAATAATAAAAGGTTAGCCCAGAAGGTATATAGAAAAAGAAAGTATGCTTACTTGTGGTGAGATGGGTAGCAATTTTTCAACTTGATATTTTCTCCAAACCTGCAAAATATGAGATTAGCAAACCTATCGTAAGACAAATAAAAGAAAAATATTCCTTAACATACCAAGAAAAATGTTTTTTAACATACCAAGAAAATGCCTTTGAGAGAAGTATGAAAATTTAAGGGATTTAGGGTTTTTACTTCTATGAGGAGTGAGGGAGATGAGACTTGACGGTAGATTTAGGTTTGATAAAAGTTAAGAGTTTTTTAGGTTAATTTTATTATGTTTTATTCCAATTTGGGTATGGCACCACTTTCTCCCGGTAAATTTTTATAATTAAGGATCGTACATTATAAAAAAATTTATTGCTATTTAATATTTTAATTAAAAAACTAGAGAATTAAGGACCAGTACTTTCTCGTCTTTACTAATGTACTTCTAGGGACCAGATTCATACCTCGTCGCTAAATGTTGGTCCCTAAAAAGTCTTTTTCTTGTAGTGGTCCTTTCGTTGTTTCAGTCAAGTCCAAGTTAGATAGTTTTGTATGTTAAAGAACGAAGTGAAAATAAAGAAATCTAATGGTCGAATCAAGCGAGAAGCTGGAGTCATCACAATTTCAATTTACTTATCTGCATCTTATTTGAAAAAGCGGGTAATTCTATTCACATTATAACATAAACCACCTGTATTGATAAAACACACAGGGATACACATGGGGGGAGGAGGAATTGAGTGTTTACTTGCAGAACAACTTCACCACATTAGGAGGAATTGAGTGTTTACTTGCAGAACAACTTCACCACATAATATAAAAAGGAATCTTACGAAAAATCAAGAAATATTATAATAAAAGACAGAGAATTTTAGAATCAAGATTCTAATAGACCAAGTTTTGATGCTCATGGGAGGTTAGGAAAAATCCATTGTATTGTTCATGAGATATAAAATCTGATTTCTTCTTCTACGAATCATGTTTAGCAAATATGTGATGCTGCAATTTTGGTCTAAGACAAAGTCAAACCATTCTAACCTTAACAAACAAGTCACTGAATGATAATTCATATTGATCATTCAATATATAAACTTGTGCTTTATTTTTTGATGTAAAATTATTTATTTGAAATTTTATTTTGATGGTATTTTACAAATACCCTTATTATTAATTTAAATATATTAATTATAAAAATAACAAATAACAAGTTTATTGTAAGGGTTGTCATATTAGTATCAACCGTTGGTGGCTTTTCAAATAAGAACAGATGAACCGTTGCCTAACTTTTTTAAATGAGAACAAAGCCTTTTCTATGAAAACCTTTCTACAGAAGACTTGGAAGATCTTTTCAGATATACTCCATACACTGTATACGGCTAAAATTGGAGAGTCCGATTTTATGATCGTTATGACAGTCCACGACTTATCTTCAGAAGGCTCGAGACACAGCTCGAGGTTCGACCCCGAAGGTTCCCAATGTCCAACCTCGGGGCAACGTAAATCGATGACTATCTTGGATAAGCGGGAAGTTCCCAAGGCGCGTGCTCAAAGATGACAACGCCTGCAAACATAGTATAAGTCTGTACCGTGACATTAAATAGTTGTACCAGCTGCGTATCATCGTAATAAATGTATGTGTACTATGTTGGGATTCCCCCTCCTATATAAAGAGTACCCTTATCATTCTCTGTTCTCTAACTTAAACACTCTCTATTGTCTTTTCTTTGATTTATTGCTTACATTTATTATGTTTCATTGATTTTCTTCATTTATTACTCATCATTGATGATAAGGAATCATCATCAAGGCCCTTAGGATTGTTAGTCCCCCATCGATCGGCCCCAGTCAAGCATTTAGATCGACCCCGAGGCCCTGATCAACAACTATTTGGTTTGGATAATAACGATGCTCTCTACGCTTACTTTATTTTCCTAACTCACACTTAGCACCTATTATGTAACAACTAGCATAAAAATAAATCACATATTTTAAGAACCACAAAATCAAATCTAATTGTAATTAGCATTTTCAAGGTAAACAGTTTGGCGCCCACCGTGGGGCTAAAAATAATAGTGATTGTTTTCGTGTTGGTTTACTGAAAGCACAAGTTATTCTTTACACTTTTTCTTTCCCATGAATCTCTAATTTCAGGTCAAAATCTCTAACTGAGTAAATGCACATGAAAACAACGGTCTTGAAGACCATTGAGAGAATGGTGTAGTTGTTCCAGGCGTCGGTGTACCACTGCAAAACCCTGAGGATGCATCAGAGCCAATCCCCATGGATGTGGTCTCATGCAATGCCCAACATGTCGATATAGGCTCCCACGCTAACAAGAGTATACGCCAAGAAAACCAACAAGAAGCTCAGAAAACCCTAGCTCGGGAGGAACAAGAGGTTAGCCTTCACGTCATTTTTGAGATGTTGCAGGCACAACAGATGGCGATTGCTCAACTGCAAAGCCACCAAAAACTCCAAACACAGCAGCACCAGAAACGGCCCCTCAAGCCGAACAGGTGCCGGAAAGATCGAGCGACAATGCAACCGACCCCGCTATTTATGAAAATGCTCGAGGCCCTCACAAAGAGGATTGAATCAGGCGAAAAGAAGATAGAAGCTAATGATAAAAAGGTGGAGACCTACAATTAAAAGGTCGACCAGATCTCGAGCCCACCCCCGATTCTGAAGGGTGTAGATTCCAAGAATTTTTGTACAAAAGCCATTCCCAATGAGTGCAGCTCCGAAGTCCATCCCATAGATATTCAGAATGCCCGATCTCCCGAAGTACAGCGGAACCTCGGACCCCAACGAGCACATCACTGCTTACACTTGTGCTGTAAAGGGAAATGACCTTATGGACGACGAGATCGAATCCGTCCTGTTAAAGAAATTTGGAGAAACACTTTCAAAAGGGGTCATGATGTGGTATCACAACCTATCCCCAAACTCGATAGACTCATTTTCCATGCTGGCAGATTCTTTTATAAAGGCAAATGTCGGCGCCATCAAGGTTGCTACAAAAAAATCTGACATCTTCAAAATCAAACAAAGAGAAAATGAGATGTTGCGGTAGTTTGTATCTCGCTTCCAAATGGAGCGAATGGAATTACCACCAGTCTCCTATGACTGGGCAGTGCAGGCCTTCACCCAAGGTTTGAATGAACAACCAATATTAGTCGAAGAACTTGATTGAATATCCCATCGTGGCTTGGTCGGATGTCCACAACCAATATTAGTCGAAGATTAGGGTCGAGGACGACCAACTAGGAGCCCCCTCGGGCTCAGTATATCTTAGCAGGCTCCTGGCAAAGGAACCAAAGCCAAACAAGGAAAGGTACCAACCATATACTGTAGATCAAAGAAATGCCACAAGGTGTAACATACCCTGAAATGATCGAAGGGCAGATCGAGGTCAGACTCCTCAGGAACTCGTGACCAGAGCCGGATTCGACAGACATATAGGACCAATGGAAGCAACCCGATTGTCTGAATACAACTTCAACATTGATGTTTCAGACATCGTATCTTCCATCGTCAAAATCAGAGACACTAGGTGGCCAAAACCCGTACTATCAGATCCGTCGCAAAGGAACCCTAACTTGGTGTGCGAATTTCACGGCACACACGGTCATAGGACCGAAGATTGCAGACAGCTTCGAGAAGAAGTGGCCCGACTAATCAACATGGCACCTTCGAGAATTCCTCAACAACCGAGCCAAGAATCAATTTCGGGAAAGAGAAACAAACAGGAAAAATGAAACAGATGAGCCACAATATGTCATCCACATGATCGTAGGAGGAATCGACATCCCGCAGGAACCCATTATCAAAAGAACAAAAATATCCATCACCAAAGAGAAGCGAACTCGAGGTTACGTACCCAAGGACGCTCTCGCATTCAGCAACAAGGACATCGAGACCCTGTCTCAGCCTCATAATGACGCATTGGTAATTTCTTTTCTTGTAAATACATTTCAAATTAAGTGTGTGCTTGTGGATCCAGGTATCTCGACCAACATTATCAGGTCGAGGGGTGGTGGAGAAGCTCAGACTGCTCGACCGGATCGTGCCTTCCTCCCGAGTCCTCAATAGATTTAACATGGCGAGAGAGACAACGAAAGGGGAAATCACCCTCCTGGTCAATGTGGCCGGCACAACCCAAGAGGTTAAATTTCATGTCATCGAAGGGGACATGAGGTACAATGCCTTACTCGGAAGGCTATGGATACACTACATGAGAGCAGTACCATCAACCCTTCGTCAAATGATGAAGTTTTCGATGAAGGATGGAATAAACATTGTATACGGGGAACAACATGCAGCAAGAGAGATGTTTGCGGTGCACGTTGTGGAACCGGTATTGACACCTTCAACATCAAAGGAGCCAAACGATAAGCAAACAGCAAAGTAGTAATCACGAGCCACATTCTTCGCTGCACCCAAGTCAATTAGCAAAGGACCGTACCGTATCCCCGGATCAAACATTTGAAGAATATTGAGGTTCAAAGAGCCATCACTACTAAGGTATAATCATCTCCCTTTTTTCATTTACACCTTACATTAACCTATATGCAAGTGTCCGATTGGAAAAATCGAAGCACCTTCCAGCTTGAAGGACTTGGGTTTTAAAGCATCCGTTGCACTCTTTTCCTTTGATCGGATTTTATCCTAAGAAGGATTTTACCGGCAAGGTTTTTAACGAGGCAATAACTATATGCTACCTAAGGAGAACTTAACAAGTATTCAAGGCTTCTCTTTAATCTACCTCGAATACTGGGGGGCATCCCCCTAGGAGATCACCTCCCCAAAAAAGTCAAGTTGAGTCAAAAAGGGTCTCGATAGGAAAACGATCTATCGGGCCAAACGGTCGATTGAACTGTGTCCGCATAGAACAATTGAATCCTTGACAATGAAGATATGTATAATTGTACCAAGTAACTAAGGAATATTTTTCCATGTAAACATTTTGCGCTTCAAAGAAGTTTACTATTCCTACAAGAAACGGCTCCAAGACCAAAAATTTCCCGAACACCCGGAAACTTCGAACTCGTAAGACCTCAACGAGGCAACATTAAGTTTACAAAGAACGGCTTCAGAGCCAAAAAAATGCTCGATGTCTCGGGGACTATCGCCGACGGCCGCCCCTTCGAGTTGTCAAAAACTTGAGGTTATAAGACCCCATGTGGGCAACCTCGAGCTCATAAGACCTCTATGAGGCAATACCAAATCTGTAAGACCTCAGGCAACACATAAATCATACTTGTACCAAGAATT